AGATAAACACTAGCCCTCATCTCAAGATACCACTTTGCTTAATTGTCTCCGAAGAATGAAGAGTCAGAATTAGATTGCTGAGACCACCAAAAGGAGGGGGTTGGAGAAATTAAAAACAAAAGAGATTTAATATTTGAATGATCTTTCAGGCAAGCCTCCTTTGTGCAATAGAGAGCAGTGGCAGCTCCCTTTACTCTGCCCTCCCAGGCAGTAGCTGATCATCACATCTCCCTCCAAACTGGTCACCAGTACCCAGCAGCATTTTAGGTGTGTGAGATAGCTAAAGGCAGGGTATCTTAGTAGTGGAAAATACCCCCACATATCATATTTGGATGGAGCACAGCACCAAAGGAAGCACAGGTGCGGGGCACCCACCTTGGAGTGTGCCTAACTAGAAAAACAGCATGAAAATCATCATGAACATTTTTGTCAGGAGGAGTACAGCAAGTGTGATCCTGACCACCTCCCCACCCCCATTAAAACACAGTTCCACTAATTTCAGCTGGACTGGGATTTGGCTCATCCTTCTCTGCTGGAAATGTTCGCTTTTTTTTTTGGCTATGGGATGATACATAACCACCTGCTAAAAGACAAGGACCAAAGTCTCATGTACTTCAGGCAAAATAAGAAAAAAGTCTCTCTTCAGCAATGAGTCTAATGAAAAGGAACCAAGAATGTGTTCATTTATTTCCCATTTATTTTTAATTTGTATCAGTTTTTTCAATGGTGCACACATTGCCATTGCACTTTTCTAGTTGTTGTTCTACCAGGACGTGTAATAAATGTCGTGAGATATTGTGCAAGAGAAAGAACAATACTTTGAACTCAATGTGCTGTTAAATTGAAGTCTTTTCTTGAGCAGTGAAAAAGTCCTGAGGCTTTTCATGTCATTGTATTGTATGGTGAGGCATACACTGAGATATTTTTATTTTTTAACTTTTGAGAAACATAGCAAAGAAAAAGAAGATAATTTCTATCATTGCAAACATTCCTAGATATCTGCCACAAAAAACCCAAAGGAGACCCTCTCCCCATCACCCCCAATAATGCAGGGGGTCCAGTATTTCAAGTTGTCACAATGTTTTTGAGATATTGTTACAGGAAATCAGCTGGCAACACCCCAAACCTTGCCAAATTATCCCAGAAGGAAACATTCTGACCTGTTTAAAGAACTTAATGTGCATTTTAAAATGAATGCCAGGGTGTAATTTCCTAAAGAGTGGACTCCAATTCTATTTTGTGCTCTGAAGAATTCTATTAAACCCCTAGAGCACTTTGTGCAACGTGAAAACACAGTTTGCTAAGGATATAAGCCGAGGTGGTCTGCAGTAAATTAACCACAACTGCTGACTGAGGCCATACCTGGGAGTTTGCTCCAAGGCAATTCTACACTTACAGCATAACACCATTTACCATCTTCTAAACTAGATTTGCCCCCTGGCTGCAAGTCAGCAAACCTTGGTGTAAAGCATGGCCAGAGATTAGTTTGACTAAGGGTTTCATTTCCAGCGTGGAACGGTGCTGCTGCTACACACAACTGAGTCCAGACCACTACTTAAAATAAGGTTGTTTTTCCCAGCCAGCTTCATGTAGTTGAGTTTTAGGCTGCTGGACTACGGTGGCCATATGATGAGTAAATTACAATAGAAATATCTCTCTGTTGCTTTGTAACAATTAACCTCCAAAAGGAACTTACTCCATTTGCATGGTAATGAGACATTCATCTAAGTGACATCAGAGCTAAGCATGCTAATAAGTTTTTATACAAACACCTGAGGGGTCAAGCACAACCATGGGCTTGGATAAGAAAACCTTTTATTAAATGCAAATCACTTGTCTTTTAAAGACTATGACAGAGAAATTTGCAGACTCCAACACAGCTTGCAGGAGTCATTCAAGTTACATTTTCAGGCCCCTGGGCTGACTAAGGAATACAGCAATTGATTTATTTATATTTGGAATTAATATCAATATCTAAAAAATCTTCATTATAGCATCAAAGGAAAGAAGTATTATAAGGAAATAGAGAGGTGAAAACAAGAATATTGCCTTATCTTTCCCAAATTTGTCACAGATTCCTGGGTTGCTGGAAGGCAGAGGAGGCTGCTGTAGAGCACTACAAAAGACTTGGAAATTTGTCAGTTTTCCATCTTCTTCAACTGCCTGTTTTTGCCAGGTATATTGCTATGGAGGCAGACTCCCTAGTGAGCATGCTATCTATCTTGCACTAAAACTTCTTGAATTCAATCAGTCAATTCACATTCTACAATCAAAGAGTTTGAGACCTTAGTGAGTGGTTAGGTCCAAGGGCATAACTGGCTGCCAGACACCTTTGGGACTAAAGGAGCAGAGCCTTCTCACTGGTAAGGCAGATTGGAGAACAAAGGTTGAGGGAAAGAAGCCGACTCTGATTAATTTAACTCTGGCAGAACCAAGTGTAGGAGGCCTTTTGTTAGCAGGACACACCAACTCATCCTGACAGTGCAGGCAGTACCAGGGGAGCAGGTCTGGTCAGTGCTAACAGGAATGAGATGTGGGCAGCACTCTGAAAAGCTGCCCTGGTGCCAGATCATTAGAGGTTTTGCTCTCAGACTAGAAAATGTGAATTTAAATATCTAGTGGGTGTAGTGTAAGTGTAGTTTAAGACAGAACTTTGTAGAAAGGACTGTCTCATATGGCTGTGTGCAGTAAGAGGAGCACAGAAATTAAAGCACAGAAGGTCTTCTTCATTACATTGCTGTATAATAAGATACTTTGGGGAAAAGCTTGGGTAATGTATAATATTACTACTCAAAACACAAAATCTAGTCTGAGGGAGTAAGCGTACACATCCCTGGAAGTGTTCAGGGCCAGGATGGATGGGCCCTTGAGCAGCCTGGTCTAATGGGTAACACCCCTGCCCATAGCAGGGGTTGGAACTAGATGTACTTCAAGGTTCCTTGCAATGCAAAACATCCTGTGAGTCCATAACATACACAATGGATCAAACTGACACCTGGCACAGAGCTACATCAGTTCTTTTAAACCAGATAACCATGCTCACCTTGCTACACACATTAAATAACAGCAACCCAGTCATGGTATGTTTCTCGAAGATCCCTTTTACTGCATAAGTTTCTGCTGTCTCCAATAAAATTGAGTATATTTATTTTGTTGCTGACCAGTTTATGACATGTGAAACATGCTAGTACGCCATAATCTGAAACTCAAGACAGTGGATTGTGGAAAAACCTTAATAAGAGAGTATAAGCTTCATGTGAGAAAGCACAAAGCTGTGGATAACCAAACCCTCAAACTGTACCTTGACATAAAACTAATACTCCACTTCCTGCAAAAATCAACAAAACTTTGGGGAACAGTTCTGAATCCTCAAAATCAGTAATATTCAAGAATTGCACCACCCATATGTCTTCAACTGCATCATACAGAGTGAGACCTCAGCTTGGTGAGGCTGGGATTCAGTATGTTAGGAAAACATTTAAGACAACAACTATGAGCTGTAATAGTCCAAATTGAAAAAACAACTGTGGTATAAGATGAGTCAGATAACTTTAAATAATTGCTTTGTAGTTAGGATAGTCTGGGCTCCTTTCACTGCCCAAACATTATAAACTACAGCTACTTATTTAAAAGTAATTCTGGTTAAATTGGAGTTTGTGAGGAGCAAGGCAGGAGGTGTGTATACAACACCGACTCAGCTTTTAAGGAAGAAAAGCTTATTTCTGGAGCAAAAACCAAAAACAAACCTTTCAGCCTAACCTTTCAAATTATGTGGTAAAAACGAAGCTCGGGGAAATTATAAGATGGCAAGCACCACAAATATATTCATATCAAGGTGAAAATTACTAAGCTGATGAGATTTAGGGCCTAATAATGTTAATGAAGTGTATCCATTCAAAACTCCTGCTTCACTGCTCAGATTTCAGCTATGGGAAGCAGCTGTGACAGCAGCAAAAACCACAGCAAACAAATACTCAGTGCTACAAGAATCAGTGTCCAAACAGGTATGCACCCCTTAGTGCACTTCCAGGTTTGAAAACCTCAACTGTACCCCTCAAATCTCAACATATTACTTCCTTTCAATTCAAATTTGGCAAAAAACCCAAACCAAACAACATAAACCCACTAAATTCATACCCTGACATATCAGATTCTTGGGATAAAATTGGTTCCCTGAATATATTGCTAGAGGAGAAATATTATTAATTACATCCTTGCATGCAGTGCTTCTCCACTTTTCTTTTTTCAATGTTTTCAGGCAAAATACCAAATAACTTTAACTGTCTGGAATCTGCTGGCTATCATCATAAGGCAGACTGTCAGTTTAAGACATGATTATTTTATTTGTTTTGCCACTTTTTGCTGCACTTCTCCAATCCAACACTAGGAACACAGAAGGACAAACACTAGAAAGGAGAGAGATGCAGATGATTCTGTGAAAAGCATTTTTTGTCTTGTGCAAATAAGCACTACTATGTTGCCACTGCAAGATGACCAGTACTATTAAAAATTCATATATTTAGTGAGTGTTTCTGGGAAAATGAACATTTAATAGTAAGCAAACCAACAAAATAATGAAAACAGAAAAAAGGATCCTTCAGCTCTTTACTGTAACGTGACCCCGGAACACCGCTGACCTTTGGTGGCTGTTTCCACTGACAACTGGTATGCACATTTCCTTTCCAAGAATCATTATTATCTGAAAATTCTGACACTCAGAAACAGCTTAGGAAAAGAATAATCTTCTGCTTTGCCAGGAAAGATTACAATGCACAGGAAATGCACAGTATGGTTTCAAACAAAGGTACTTCCTTTGAACTCTAGTAGAGCTTTTAGATATAAAAATCTTCCCCTGCCTATATTGTCCTGAGCTGCCTTCACTGGTCTTAAGACTAAATAATAAAAAACTTCAATGCTCGAGCCTACGTTTATTCTTTTCACAGTTTTGGAGTCAAAGACCATAACCTTAAACACAAATTTGAAAAAAAAATATTCCATACCTCATTGTGATTCTTGCTTAACCATTCCTTAATAGTGTTAAGGGCAATGACAGCAGCAGGCTCATTTGGAAAACCTAAAAAGAGAAGAAATGAGAATAAATAAAAGGCATATATTTCTTTATATATAAGAAAACAAAAATCTGAGCTTTTTTTCTTCCTATTCTTCAAAATATTTTGGAATTACAGTTGGTCAACTCCCTTCTTCATAGATTTGTATAAAGGCTTTAGGTAACATCCGTTACACTTTTCCCCAGCTAAATAAATTGAAAATAGGCACAACAATGCTGTATTGGATTTTTTTTTTTTACTTGACTCTAGTTAAGAAAAGTCAGCTGCTCAAGAGAGCAAGAAACAAAAGAGTTGTGTACATGTGTCATACAAGGCAGGCAACCATTCAACACGTATACATACCACAGTAACAAACACTAGGCTTACATTTCATAGCAGCAAGAAAAATTCAGACATTTCTTAAGGCATAAGGGCTTTCTTAAAGGCTTTCTTTTTTTAATCCATCTGTCAGCAAAACTATACCACACTATGACCCCAATGCTGTAGGCCTTATATAGAGAGAAATGTTTGAGTTGGAAATCTCTCAATTTCTGACCTAAATCATAACAAAGAACTTTGGAAATTAAAGAATTCATGAAGTTCATAAGCATATGAACTTAAGGCCTTATGTTGCATGTTACATTAGCAATGGTAATTCCCCCCAGCACTAAACAATATCAAAAATCTTTCCAGGTATACAGACTTTTTGCTTTGATGGCTTCTACCTATTAAATCCAAGGATGCTTTCATTACTTAGGCACCTTAATTTAATTTTCCTTTCAATTCCTAACTTGGGGGCAGCAAATAATTTCTGTGAGGATTTAACAGTAAGACCCCATAAGCTGTATGAATCGCTCTCAGTAGGTCAGATTAACAGAACAGGCTTTGAAGAGGTGCAGCTGCAGACACAGTGGACAAGCAAGCAATAGGGTTAGAAAGAGTAATGAAATTTGGCATACAGCTGTGTAGATACAGCCTTTCTTACATCATACACCACCCTTGCACCATAAACTGAAACACAGATACTGCAAAAAATTACAAATTTTCAGCTTGTTGAACTTATGTCTTCTTTAACCCTTTTTCAGAATTTGTGCAATGCAAGATTAGGAAAAATCCCTCTGCTGAATGACATTCCCAAAACATCACTCCCTGTAAATTGACTCTGCAAAGATTTGCTCCAGCAGCATGTGTACTGTTTTGAAGTGAAAGATGACAATCATTCATCAAGGAAAGCAAGCAAAATAGTAAATCTTGGATAATACCAACATTTAGCATGTGCCTCCTTTGAATACATTTCTCGATTAAGCATATTTTTACATTTTAGAAAATATACTTACCAAGTTCAAGATAAAAAACTAGCTTAGACCCTAAAAATGTTACTGTGGATACTCCTATAGCTGTTGGGAAAATAAATTGTTATAACATTTAATAATGCTGCTGATATCATCAAGGCATATGTCTCATGACACCAACTAACAACCACTAAGGAAACCCAGAGTGGGGACTTCCAACAGCCTCATTTTCATAACACAAAATAACAGAGCTCTAAGCAGACCATCTGCTCAAATTAGCAATATCCTAGCTAACAAACTGGGACTTTTTCACACACAAATTCCATTCCTGAGCGTGGTAGCTCTGCCTGGACATAAAATGAACACCATGCAGAGGGACAAATGCATATTTCAGGACAACTGATATACTATTGTTTATGCACTGAATGGTTTATTTTCAGAACAATTCTCCCTCCAGCAAGATTAACTTTTCAGGCTTGTTTTTCAATCCCTTGCAGCGGCGTAGCTGGCCAAAATGGTGATAAAGCACCGGGGATTGTATAGAATCTCTCCATAAATTGTACACTGTTTAGAAACTGCTGCCATACTAACCAGTCTTAAATAGAATCTTATCTAGAAAACTGGTGTTCAATTACTCCTAAGTCACCACAATGTAAAGGAAACAGTTCAGCTACCTAAATAAACAGCCTTGAATGCTGTGTATGATTTCAGGAAGTATGCTAAAATCCATCAGAGCCTTTTATGGTCACCTACCCCCTCCAAAATAATCATCTAATTAGCATTTTACACACATTGCTGGCAATTTTATGGAAAGGATTATATGCAGAAGAAGGATGGAATTAGCCTCCTGTTGAAAACCTTGCACCAGCACAAAAGCCCCTGTGTCTGATTCTCAAACAGAAAAACATTTTTATTTATAGGACTGAGTTAAAGGAAGATAAAGCAAGATGGGATCTTTGAAAACATGCTTTTGCATTGTTTTTATCTCTAATCTACACTTGCCTGCCATAACATTTCTGGTCTGCTCCCATCTGCACCCCCATCCCCCCTTTCCCACTTTCAGGGAGAAAGCAATCTCAGGAGGCACGTGGGAATCAAATTACTTGAGAGAAATGAGCTCGAGGTGCCTCACAGTTTACTGACTGCTGGAGCAGCAGCTCAGGCAATTCTGGCTAAAGGCTCAATTTCACAAAAGATAAAACAGGTAAAGTAATGAGTGACACTGGGCCATGTTACTGCAGTGAGTGCTCCTCCAGCATACTGAAAAGGACAAGGGCACAAAAAAGCACACATCAGCCATGAGGTACAGGACTTCCCTGTGGTTATCTGCCTGGAGAAAAAGAGAGGGGGGGCAGGTTGTATGTTATGGACAGGTGTGTGGTGCAGTGTACCCAGCCACACACACAGGTATCTTGGGCTGAGCTTTATACATCCTCCACTGCCACAGTGAACACCTTGGCAACACACCCAGCTACACCACAAAAACAGTGCAGGCTCTGTCTGCTTCCTGAAGAGCTGCTTCAGCAAGTGAGAATTTTACTGCCACCATCTGCATTTTGCAGTGCCAGCTGAGCACATCTCACTATCCATTACCAGGATCCCAAGCCCTCAAGTACATCAAAATCCTGGATAGGAGCAGCCACTCCTCTGGTGCCCCTCTGAGCTCAGGAGCCATCCTTTACAGCACAGCTTCCATCATCATCCCAGCTGATGGCACAGTGGGTGCAAGGCAGTAGCAAGGAAGGCGTGCACCCTGCTGCCATCACATAAAGCACACCTCATCTGAACTCTACTGCTTTTGGTCTGCCTTTGCACAGATTACCCACAGTGACAGCCTAGGAAGGCTTTGAGAGGTCTTCAAGCTTAGAAGACTCTGCAACTCTTTCCAGGGCTTCACCAGCTTATTCCTGGAAATTGTAACCCTGACTTGTGAAAGGGCTCCCAAAGCAAGCTCTAGACTGTGATAGTCCCTGCAGTCATCATGGCCATAATTTTCCTGCAAAGGCATGATAAGATATGGCAGGATTATTTTGATCTGATATGAAATAAATGTGCTGTTTTAGAGGAGAAGAGTGTGGAGGAGAACTAAGATATTAACTAGAGATACACACTGACATTCCCATTACATTTTGTATTTATTCCCTGGAATGCAACTGGTAAGAATATAAAACTCCCTGTTTCATCAAAGTGCAGAAAATATGGAATGAATTCCCTGTTGTTAAGACACCCTTGTGTAAATGCTCAGTCTTTTGTGCTTGGGGGATTCAGTGGAGAAACATTGTCTAATTGTGAATGTCTGTTACTCTTTGCCTAATTTATCTGTGCAGTATCAGAAAAACATACACCAGTAGTCCATAGAATCATAGATTATTCTGAGTTGAAGCATACCCACAAGGATCATAAAGTCCAACTCCTGGCCCTGCACAATGTTCTTCAAAGCATAACAGTTCAGCTAGGATTTTGTGACACAAAACTAATAAAAAAAATCTATTTCAGGGACTCCCAAACTATGTGGAGATGCTGGTAGCTTGATCAGCCTCTTTTATTAGGCTTGATCCAATCTTACAAAAAAATGTCTAACTTACAATCAGGTAATGCCACCTCCCCATGAAAAGCCCATTAACAAAACACAGGCATTAAGTAATCAAACTTTAATATGATTTGAGGATTAAGATAACAGATTACAACAGGAGGGCTATAACACAAAGAAGCAAATGTCAATCCAGAAAAATCACTTCAGTAGTTGTAGGGATAAGTGTTATAATTTGTCAGTTTAACTGAGATGCCTGATGTTTTCTGTAAATCAACTCATCCTGGTAAAAAAAAGGTCTGTATCCTTTTTTGTTAGCACAGCCCAAGTGCTAGGCAGGTTTTTGTTCATTTAAAACATGTTCCCTTCTCTATGGATTCTGAAAGGCTCGTCACAGGCTTAATATTCTTATTTGCCAGTTTTAATGGCTTCATTTTGAAGCAAATCATGAAAAGAACCAAATGCACATCAACACAAATAATCATTATGTGTTTTCATATTTTCTCAGAAAAATATCTACACTGGCATATTTGTGCATACATCAAGATGTAACAGTTTGCAGACTGTTCCTGTGTGCTAAAATCAACCCTGAGTCCCACAGCTTAATCAACAAGACTGTTAAAATGGAAAAACTTCCATGTTTTAAGTTTATAAATCTGTCAGTATGTTTACAGATATATAAACGATGCTCTTCAAATAGTAGCTTGTCACATTTTTAAACTGTGGAACTGTACTGAAGGCCATCTCTGCAGTCACTATGACAGGGTATCTCCCCCATGCATCCAGTACTTGCTATGTGGGAATCATCAGCACCAGATGGCACGGAATATAAAGATGCTTTAAAGGAAAGAAGAAGAGGGAAAGAAGAGAAAAAAAGGTACTAAGCCTTTATTCCATACATGTTCTGAAACCTGGTATTATTACTGGTACTGTAAATACCTTCTGAATCACAACCAACACATAAATAACTGTGCTTCATTATGGCCAGCTATTGCCAACACAGATCATAGTGGTCATCACAATAAAGGAGAAAAAATGAGATGCACAGCCCAGAGTGCCTGAGGTAGGGTTAACTCAATACATCCACTTGTCCTTCAGCGGTGAAATAAACAGAATAATCTTGCAACTGATCCTATATAATCATCTTGTCAAAGATTTATTTTAGTAGTCAAAATTAATTCACTCATGCTAGGTTGATTCCCAT